CGCCACGGCCACCACGATTTCCCCAGGAAAGTGGTACAACCAAAGGTTGAGAAAAGACTCAGCCAGAGCCAAGGGTGGGCAATGAGAGACACAGGAGGAAGAAACACATGTGGCAAGCCAGAAGCACCAAGCGAGTTCTTCATCCTCTCACACAACAACCAGCAGTCAACCTAGAGCAGAAGAGAACACTCAAACATAGAGTTTAATCTGCTTTACATTATGTTACTTTAGGGAAACCAAATGGAAAGCCAGCTCTCAAAAATGCCAATATGATGCCAGTGCTCTACTGGATGGGTTGGAGGATTCACAAGCAGGAGACTAAGATACTCTCAGGAGTCAAGTCAGGCTTGGGCTCCCATCCCAGCCTCCTCACTGGGCCCCCTTGTGACCCTGAACAAGCACCCTAACCACAATGAGCCTGTTTCTCCATACGTACCAGTGCCCATCTGTCAAGGGTACAGAGGGGATGCTACCAGGCAAAGCTCAGAGAGTAAGCCTTAGACCCCAGTGTCAACATGAGCGTCCCCCACTTCTCTGCTAGGTGTACTGGGCAACTCCAGGTCTTGTCATTTTATTCACTCAACAGCTCTCTTTGTCCTACCATCCCAGCTCAAGCCCACCACCTGTGCTCGTGTCCTTCACTCTGCAAGAACCAACTACCCCAGCTCTACTGAATCCTCCAGACATAGAGCCTTTTCACTCCTGCTCCCCATGGGCCGAGAAGACTTGCTCTCCCTGTCCCCTGGCCTTAAAGCTCACCTCAGAGTCACTACCCCCAGGAAGCTTCCCCTGACCTTGGGTCCCCTTCACTTATATCCTTCCCAAGTACTACAGGCATCTCACTAGTTCACTCTTCACCTTTACATACACCTATCAGATCCAGATCGGGTCTCCCAGGACTTCCAGGACATCACAAGCTCTACCAAGTAGGGCCTGAGTTGAGACCCTGACTCCCCACACCGCAAGGAACTCAAAAATTGGGTAGTAAGCCGGTCCTTAGGCTGGTTGTCCGGCCTAATGGTTGTACAACCATTCCACAAGGACAAGGGCATGTTCAGAGTGGAGCTGGTAGAACCAGCCTTTGATCCAAGGGGGTCACGTGGGCAGAGCAATGTGTAAACCCACTTATCACAGCCTCTTAAGAGTTACTGCTAAACTCAGGAGACCAAGGCAGGAGGATCACTGTGAGTTCGAGACCAGCTTGAGCTACACAGTGAGTTCCAGGTCAGTCTCAACTACATAGTGAGACCCTGTCTCAAAAAAAAAAAAAAAAAAAGTTACTGCTAAAAAAAAAAAAAAGAGTTGCTGCTGAGGAAGACTGCCTCCATATCCACAACCATAGACTTGGTAAGGAAAACCAGTGGGGCTTTGATAATCATAGCCCTCCCAAGTCTGCACTGCACAAACATAAAGGCAAGTTTGAAAACCAAGTCCTCTTCACAGCACTGAGAGGCTACAGGAACCACTGCTGGGCCAGCAAACACATCCACCATGAACAGCCGTCAGCAGAGTCCCTCAGATGCCAGTCTGGCTGATGTTCTGATGTGCTGGGAAATATGAAGACATGCTCCCAAGCACATTAGGGGAGATAGCCAAGGCTTTATGTAACAAGATATTTATATCTGAACAACACCCTCCAAGTGCCAGGAATTCCAAGAGGCTGCCTAGAGAGGACCTGAGGGTCTCTACAGCCATGATAGAGACAAAATACACAAAGCCTACAGCCTACACTGAGATGAAGGCCACCCCTGCCCCACTTAAGACAAAGCTGGCAGAAGAGCAGTCAGTTACAGGAGCAAGAGGTAGGGGAAAGCACGCTTAGGGAATTAGCGCTTCCCCAGCACCAAGACTGCAGTCAGTGTGTAGTCACCACACTATCGGTCCAGTCTACTCAAGGAAGGGACTATCCCTCAGGGGAAAGGCAACAAAAGTCCCACTCCACTACAAATGCCAGGAATACCAAACACCTGGAGCCAGTTACTCCCAAAGGGCTCAGCCTGGCATGCCAGGCTTTTGAAGATGCCCTTCTTGCTGTCCTGTCTCACCCACTGGCCACCCTGGCCTCCACTCTCATAGCTCTCTGCCTCTGGAGAACTGTGGAGAGGAACCAATCTAGGCAGGCCTCATCTTAGGAACCATCCCTGCACTCAAGGGTTCAAGTGCCCCACAGGGTGTGACACTGTTGTCACATGCCTTGAGCAGAGAATACCCAAGAACAATCCACTTTTCATCAAGTCTGAAACTGTGGGACCTTTTCCTGTTTCTGTGGCAGTGATAACACTAATTGCCATTTGGGAGGCAACTATGAACTCCTAGCTATTATCTCCCCACCCCAAAGAGGTGGGGATCCAACTCAGGATCAGGAATACACCAATAACAAGTTTTCATAGGTCACCAGGAGCCCAGGGAAGGTAGGGCAAGGTGGCCACAGCCCTTGCTCCCAAACACCAGAAACTGCCAGTGATGGGCAGCTGGAACCTAAGAAGAGATATGAGTACCCACAATCTGCTCTGCCCGCACTGCTCAGCATGAGGAGGCCTTCAGCAAACCTGACCTGAGAGGCTGGCTCCAAGGTGGCCATAGGGCCCAAAGAAAAGCTGGATATTGAAGTAGAAGGGAACTTTCTGGGGCAGGCCATGCCAGGGCCAAGCTCCATCTCCATATCCTGCCATAAGCAGTCATTTAGTTATGTTCAAGCACTTAGGTGGTTCCTGGTAGTATGTAACTAGTGTTACCAGTGACACAGTAGCTCTGGGTTTCCAAAGGGCTTTGGATTCATACATGAAAGTGCTCTGACACTAGCAGCGAAGGATGCCACTAAATATTCCTTTTGGCAAATACCACATAAATGCCCACCGTGGGATGGTAGCAAAGAGACAGATAAGTTGCCTAGATCAGGTGTGACGGTGCACTGTACCCAATCGTAATTATCACCTCAAAACAGCAAATAAAGGGGGCAGCCCAGATCTGTTAGCTGCTTAAACACCCTCCAGCCTGGTGTGGTGGCACATACCTATAATCCCAGCACTCAGGAAGCAGAGGCAGGATGACTGCTACAAGTTCAAGGCCAGCCTGGACTACAGAGCAAGACCCTGTCTCAAATACAAAACAAAACAAAAACCATCCAAGATAGGACTTGGGGTGTGGTTCAGTGGTAAAGTATGTGTTTAATATGCATGAAGCCCTGGGTTCAATTCCCAGCACTGCATTAAAAAAAAAAAAAAGAAAAAACTAAGAACCTCCAAGACCACACTTTGGGTAGGGTAGAGGTACAGGGATATGGCAAGGGACGAGTGGCCAGAGAACTTGGGACTCAAGAGTTCCAACTCAACCTTTTGGAGGACAGGCTAAGGCTCTCATCAGCTAGCCAATTCTGCCTATAAAACGATGGAGTCATTACAGTGCAAAGAAACTTGTGTGGAAATAGTGGGCAGAATGCCACACTGGGAGGGCCTAAGCTGGAGATCCAGATTCACAACCTCCTGGCTACTGACCATGGGTAAGCCTCACACTTCTCTGGTGAAATGGGGAGAAGTCCTGCCTTGCTAGCCATGCAGGCCTGTCAGTGAGTCATGGACCTGCACGTGCTTCTAAACCACAAACACGTTGTGGGTGCTGGGACGGGGGCTGCCGCTCAGATGTCTGCACAGTCTTACTGTGGGCTCAGAGCATATGGAACCAAGACTACTGGCACTCCCACGAACCCACCAGACTGTCGACTCCTTACTGAATTGGGAAATCAGAATTGCTTTCTGCAATGACAGGCCAGAGCCAAGAAACTCCTTGCCTTGGAAGAGAGTTGGCCAGGCTGAGGCAAATAGTGCCAGCTTTCTGCTGCAGCCCAAAGCCCCAAGCAGGCTTCGACTTCAACCCAGGACAGAAAGTGGCCTCCAGAGAGCATGACTGCTGAGTAACTGGACACACACTGCTATTTAGTTAACCAAATTCTCTCAGAAGAGCCCACTAGCCACTTAGGAAGTACCTAGTGCACATCAAGAGTCACCAGGAGAGACCCTGGACATCACTGTATCCTTAAAATCTTTCTTCTGGGTTTCATAGGAATCAGGGACAGAAAAGAGATCAGGCATCTGCTACCACAGTGTTGAGATCTCTGCTTGGAGAATCAGCCTCCAAAGACCCCATGGTACCTGTGGGGGCAGGAGCCTCCTGGGTAGTGGGTTTCAGCTAAGGAGCTCTCTGGGAAACCCCTAGACCTGAGCAAACCTGGCCAGGTCACTCCATCAGCAAAGAGGGTGAGACGTGTATCCCCTATTTAATAAGCTCTGATCCACCTGGCTCACTGAGCCCCTCAAGTTGAGTCTCAAGGCTAGGAGATGGGTTTGCTCTCCTGTAAACACCCACCAGAACATTGGACAGGGAGCTCAGGGGACTTCAGCTGTGTTTACAGGTTGCACCAAATCCCTCCCAGACTCAGATCTGTTCTAGGATGGGTGAGAAACAAGGTGCTTCGGGTTCACTGAGGAGCTTCATTCCATGAGGTAAGGACAGTAGCAAAAGCATACTGAAAGGTGTCAGGAGGGACTGTTGGCCATGTGTACCCAGGCCCACTTAGCACTTAGCCCTGGGACCTCCACAGTCCTGCCACCCCCAAGCTCCATGAGGACCAAGGGCCCTCTCCTGAGCACCCACTATCCTCCTCATCTACTCCACTCACCTCCTGACTACCCCTTCCATGAAACCCCTCTCTCTTTCCTCCTCTGGCCCCACCCTCTGCAGCCCTCCCATGTGGGAGATGGGAATCAGGCCCCTCACTCTGGCTACTTTGTGGAGCTATTTCTTCGGTGGCTCTTCACTGGTAGGACCCAGGGTATGGCCTCAGCCTTTCATACATGCCAAATCTTGGGCCCCAAGCATCCCCTCCTTCCCCAGTGTTAGCTTCTGCCTCTACCCAAACTCCACAAGCCAGCCCCTGGGCCTGACCACGCCCCACTGATACAGGCCTTCACCTTGACACTGGCCATGGACAGCTACCAGATGGGTACACCAGCCTCCTGTGGAAGTAGACCACTGCTCTTCTCTTTCAGGTAACCCTCATCCCTTCACTCCTGAGTGACAGGCCATTGCCAACAATGCTAGTCCAGCCTTGTCTTTGAGACCCTGGGCCAGAGAGGGCATTTGAGGCTCTCCCCAGTTGGATACCCGACGCTGTGTCCCATGAACATCAATCCAAGTTCCTGATCCATCTGGGTTGGACCTGATCCATCCGGGTTGGCCTCTCCTGGGGTAACCTAGAGAACTTCTCCTCTCAATGCCAAGATTCAAGTGCTACAAGGCACACACCCAGCCCTGTCCCCTTCACAGAGAGGAAAGAGCCTGCATTCCTGACTCACCTCATCACTTTCTCACCCCATCTCTCCTGTCCAGTGCTCCCCTACCCCATTAACTGTCCATGTACAGGGCATTCCCAACCCTGTCCCTTAACTCAGGCCTGGCCTAGAACAGAATAAAGGCTTCTAAGCCTGGAGGTGGGGAGGACTAGAACCCTCCAAATGGAGGGCAGAACCTGCTACCATTCTGATCTGGAAGACTGAAAGCATCAGCATCTGTGACAAGCGCCAGGACTCACTGCAAAGAGACTTCGTTTTTATGGCTGGGCCCTGACACCTGGTGGCGGTAGAGGGTACTACAGGCCTTGACCAACCTGACAGGCCTCAGCAGACCAGACTGGATACCAGGAACAAAACTCTGTCTCCTCCCCTTCTTCTCTTCATCATCATCATCATCATCATCATCATCATCATCATCATCATCATCATCATCATCATCCCTTATTCCAATTTTGTACCAGTTACTCAGGGTTTTTTTTTGGGGGGGGGGTACCAAAAATTGAATCGATCCCAGGGACTTTGTGCTGGGATACATCTCCAGCCCCCTTTTTTAAATGTTTTGAGACAGAGTCTTGCTAAATTGCCCAGGGTGGGTTCAAACTCACAATCCTCCTGCATCAGCCTCCCAGAACGCTGAGATTATAGGCGTGCACTGCCATGCCCAGCTACTGTCAGTTCTTGACACAAACCACCTCATAAACCCTCCAACACCCGTGAGACAGGACCTGTCTCTGTACCAGAAGCTCCAGGGAGTTAAATGACCTGTCCAGTATCATACAGGCGAGAATGCAGAAGCCAGCTGGATTCTACCCTCCACTGTTGTCCCAGCCAGATCTTCTCCCCTTTCGTGTGATGTTGGCTCACCTTAGTTATCCCAAAAAGTGTTGTCTTTAAGCATCTGAGACAGTCAAAAAGTGCTTGTGAGAGTGCTGGGGGGCATTCTGAAACTTGAGCCCTGCACATGTATCACCCCCCTCCCCGCCATGTTTCCAAAGGCTACAATTAAGTCAGGTACATAGTCCTGGGCCTGGCTTCCAAGACTGGCCCTAGGCTAAATCAATCTTATACATGGCTCATGGCTCTACATCCCTGGAGGACTCCATGAGACCAGAGGTGGCCAAGTTCCCACCAACACTGACTTCTATGGTCATCTCTGCCTCCTTGGCCCTAAAGGCAGTCTCCATGATGCAGAGAAGACAGCAGCACTGGCAGCCAGCAAGAACTGGCTCTCGAGGAGAGTCCCTGCCAGGCCCACACTGAGAATCCCTAGCTGCAGTATTCCTGAGACTCTGTCATCTCAGAACTGGCACCAAAGGGTTTGGTATAAGGAGGTAGCACACCTCATCTCCTGGCCAGTGCTCCAGCCAGGACAGCCACATTGCAGTCTATTCATTTCTGACTATCCCAACAGACAAAGACTCAGCACTCCACTGAACTACCACAGCAATGAACCAACCAGCCAGCATCAACACAGTCCAACCATGGCTGCCCCCAAGCCCAGGAGGCTGCCCAGCACTCACACTGATAATGCTGCAACAGCCGGTGAGTCCGTACATCCCACACCTTCACAGTGTTGTCCATGCCGGCAGCAGCAACACATGTACCACTGGGGTGGAAGTCCACATAGGTGACAAAGCTGGAAAGACAAGGAATATCATGCACTACAGGGGTTCTGCTCTGCCAGTATAGAACCACAAGTGTCTACTGCTTTCCCATCCCTTTGTATCTGCTCATGCTATTCCCTCAAACCAAAACACTCTTTTCTGCAATGTTTCAGATAGCCACAGGAGAGCAAAATGAAGAAAGAATGGTAGCCAGGGACCAAGTTCCACCATCTTTTTTTTTTTTTGGGTGGTGTGGTATTAGGGATCAAAACTAGGAGCACTGTTCCACTGAGCTATATCCCCTTTTTATTTTTTATTTTTGGACAGGGCCTCACTAAATTGCCCAGGCTGGCCTCCAACTTGAAATCCTGCCTCAGCCTCCAAAGTGACTGGGATTATAGGTGTGTACCACTATGCCTAGCACATCACTTTTTAAATACAAGTGGAGATGGCCATCTTCAGACTCAAAGGTCAGCTGGGCTACTCTGGGGCTCTGGAACTGGAGTTGGTACCCTTGCTAGAGCTGGCTCCAGAGTAGGTCTTGCCAGCTGATGAATAGGTGGGAAGGTCCAGCAGGGCCACAGGGCTGCTGGCCCACCTATCTCTAAGAGACAGGCCATGTGCCTTCAATACACCCACACAAGCTCTCTGAAAGAGACCTTGCCTGGTTCCCAGTCTAAGGAAGGTAGAACCTGGGGTGCATTAGGTTGACTCTCTACTCAAATGCAGGCTCCTCCCTTTCTCAATAATAGACCCCAATATAAACGGCCACCACCTGGTGAGGCTTCCATTTCATCGCCACAGGTAATATACTAAGAAGCTTTAAAATGCAGTTTGAGGGTCTAAATTCAAATGTTCACAGATATGTTGCAATTCTAAGATCTAGAAAGTAAAGGCAGAAAAGAGAAGTCCAAAAAATTACACAGCTAGAGGTTAAGTTCTCCATGGAATGGGGATGGGGCTAACCCTTCTATGCACAAAAGAAAAGATGCAGTACCTATACAAATGGCATGAGAGCAGCAGAGCAGCAGAGGTGTGGCTACCGCCCCCCACATCCAGCTCCAGAAAGCCACTGGCCTCTTTGTGTCAGGTTGCAGCTCAATGCTGCAGCACCCACAGATGAGGGACAGCACTGGGAACTTACCCGCCATGCTCACAGTATGAGTGGACGCATTCCCGGCTGGTCTTATCCCAAAGCTTGACGGTCTTGTCATCACTGGCAGACACGATGAGCCGACCATCAGGGGAGAACCTGACCCAGTAGGGGCAGGGGTCATAGAACTGATGAGCAATTTTCTACAGTCATTTTCCCTGCATGCCTACTAACTGATCAGGACATTACATGTCCTGCCCAGATCCCTGAATGGACCCTTCAGGAGGCAGGTGGTGTCCCTCTCTGTGAGAGGGATAGGAGCAATGCCTTCCCCACAGCAAGGACAGAGTAGTACAATGCATAGAATAACCCCACAGGCATAAAGCACGTGGCAACATCTGGAATGCCTGCTGGCATTCCTACCATACAGGTGGCCACAAGCCCCAAAGCAGAATAGTGACCCTGCTCCCAGTCCTTTGCGTCAGCAAAACACAATCTGCAAACAAGTCATGGTGGCTCTGGGGACCCACCACCCAAGACCCACTGGGGCATGACACCCACTTTTCTGACCCAGTCCCTCATGCTTGGAGGACCCTGACCATGAGACCTCTCACAGTGTTAGAGGCCTCCCAGGACAGAGGAATGCTGCTGCCCTAGGCAATGAGTATTTGCACAGGTTCCCCAAAAGAAGAAAGTTCAATAATCCCAACCTCTGTCTCCCATGGTTTCCTAGTATTTCCCAGCTATCTCTACCCGATCCTCCAGGGTAGAGATTCGACAGCAGAAAGCTTTGTTTTAAAAATTCCAATAAGCTAGAAGTAGGCATATCGGTGTCTGCCAATTCTTGGACCTTGAAAAGTCCTTCAGGTCTCTTGGCTCCCCATGTACAAAGCACAGTCCCCCCACCAAAGGGAAACTCTGTAGCAAAATAAAAAGTCTGAGGTGGAGGAATGTAGGTCAGCCTTAGCACCAGACTCAGGTTCAGAGCTCTCCTTTGCCACTCACCCATCAAGTCTAGGATGAGAAACTGCAGTGCTCTGAGCCTGTTTCCTCATCTGTAGAACAGAAATGATACCACCTGGCTGGCAGAACTGTCATGAGGGACCAGAAGAAACTAGAGTAGTAGCACTGACAATGTCTTATCATTGACACTGCAACTTTCAAGAAGTGGCCCCAGTTGCCTCTGGTGGGTCTCCCTCAGCATGGATGTCAGAAGGTCATCACAGCTTGAGAGAGGCTAACTTAAGCTCATGAAGCTTTTCAATAAATACAATGCAGGAACTATTACAGTGGCCATTTTCAAAATAAAGAAGCCAAGGCTCAGGAAGATTACAGAGTGACTAAATAATCTGCCCATAGTCACAAGCTGGCACCCAACATCTCTCTGTGCCCAAAGTCTCTCCAAGTGCAATGCTTACCTTGCACAGCGGACCCAGTTGATGTGCTGGCTCAATGAGAAAAGGAATTTCTGGCGATGTGTCGACCATACCTTGATTGTCTTGTCATCAGAGGCTGTCACAAGGGACTGGCCATCACTAGAGAAGTGGACACTCCTCACCGTGGCTGTGTGTGCACGAAACACGGTTGACTCACCTTTGCTATGAGGACAGAGAGCCAGAGTAATAGTGAGGTGTAATAGTGACGTGCAACAGTGAGGCAGTAACATGTAATAGTGAGGTAAAGGCCCACAAGCTTATCAAAGCCCTTCACAATCTTCAGACATCCCTCCCAAAGTCAGTCCATGCCTAAGCACCCACTTTCCAAAAAACGAAGCCAGAACCTCCCCCAGGAGAGAACCCTGCTTCTCACATCCCCACCCACGTGTAAGCAGCATCAGGTAGCAGTCCTTTGAGGATCTCTGCAAGCAGTCCAGAATCACTCTCCCAAGATAGCTCTAGCCTCTGATGGCATCTCCTCAGAGGTTAGGTGGTATAGATGTCCTGCTATGGCCAGTCCAGAGCCAGGATATGGACCTGGGTGGCGACAGCTCTGGCACCAGGGACCCAGACTCCATTAAGCCCTTCAAAGTCTATAACTCACACGTTAGGTACCCAGATGCGGACAGTCTTGTCACGGGAGCCTGAGGCAAGCAAATGTCCCGAGGGGGAGAAGTTCACACAGGTGACAGCATCCTTGTGGCCTGTGAAGCGGTAGGCACGTGCCTGGGGCTTCATGTGCCAGACCATGAGGCAGGAATCCATGGAGCCACTGGCTGGGGAGAATAGGTGATACTGTGATCTTCCCCTCTATCCGGCCTCAGGACTCCCCGAGAATACTGGGGGACATCACACCAATCTCTGCATTCCCAGGCATCCACAAACAGAGAAGGTCCCCACAGAGCCACATCACCCACACCTCAGTAACTGCCCACCAGAAGGTTGGAGAGTCTATGGCCTGGCAATTCTCTAAGGAGTAGACTGACAGAGGACCTCCCACACCAGCCCTAGGAACTCATCCCCAAGGAGACATAAGTCACTTCATAGACACACCCTGAGGGCATAAGAGCAAGTCTTTCCAACACTAGGGAGCCAGCCCAGCCCAAACAGCCTCTTACCAGTGAGAGGGCTTGACTCAGTCAGACTAAAGGAGATTCCTACAAAACCAAAAATTATCTCGGTTCCCTCTCTGCCTCCAGCCTCCAGCCTCCAGGAGACCTTAACAATAGTATGAAGGGGTAAGCTGAATCTACAGGAACAAGAAAGCTACAGCCAGGTGAGCTGTGCATGAACCCACATGTGAGCAAGGAAGCGGGCACCCAAATACAGCAAAAGGACCATGGTGTGGGATGTTCCTGGCCTGCTCAACACCTTTCTCACTGGTAGGCCTCAATAACAAGGTGTACCACAATGTCGTAGGCAATGGAACCCAACACCCAAGGAAAAGAGGTTGCTGTTTGTAGCCTGTGACATAGAACAGAACCAAGAAGTGGCTGGGATGTGGGCACAGAAAAGCCTGATCCAGTCTCACTCTCAAAAGCTATGTAACCTTGGCAAGGTCCCCAACCCCTCTGAACCTCACACTCTGCATATAAAATTGAGGTCATGAAGCCCAGCCACAGAGTTGGAAGGTGGAAGGAGAACACAGGTCCACACAAAGCATCTACATCCTTGTCATGCTCCGCTCCCCATGTCACATCTTGCTTAAACCTAGCACCTTCTCTTACCCAGCTGCTTTGTATTGAGACTGAAATCCACACAGGTAACCGCATCTCGGTGGCCCTTAAAATGCCTCTCCAGTGAGGGGTCCTCCTGTGGAAGAACCAGAGTCAAATGGGTGAACCTGGTCAAGGAAGGAGCTGCCCCTGGGCCAAGGCTTCCTACAATAGCCAGTAGGGGTTAAAAATGCTTACAGCATTGCTGGGTGTGGTGGCACACGCCTGTAATCCCAGCACTCAGGAGGCTGAGGCAGGAGGATTGCTGTGAGTTCGAGACCAGCCTGGGCTACATAGTGAGTTCCAGATCAGTCTCAACTACATAGTGAGACCTGTCTCAAAAAACCAAAAAAAAAAAAAAAAAAAAAAAAAAAAAAAAAGCTCACAGCATGATTTTCTTTCTTTCTTTTAGACAGGGTCTCACTATGCAGTTCAGGCTGGTCTTGAACTCACTATGTAGCCCAGGTTGGCCTCCAACTTGCAGCCATCCTCCTGCCTCATCCTCCCAAGTGCTGGGACAATAAGCATGCACCACCATGCCTGGCCACAGGATGATTTTCTTACACAGAAAATCCCAAGGAATCCCCTAAAAGCTACCAGAATTATGTAATTAATAAGTTCAGCAAGGAAGTAGACTACAAAATTAATACAGAAGAAAATGTAGTATTTATATATAATGGAATACTACTTTGCCATAAAAATAAACAAGTCATTCTTAGATAAGTGGATGCACTTTGAGACCATAATGTTGTGTGAAACAAATCAGACATACAAGCTTAAAAACTGCATGGTTTTTCTTATATGAGAAACTCAAAAAATATATATTCAATACATATTAAAATGAAAGATAAATAAGAAGTAGGGAGAGCTTTTTCAGATTGATAGGGGAAAAAACAGAGAGAGAGAAGGAGAGGAGGGAAATGGGTGGGGGAAAAAGAACTGAAGAAGAAAAAAATAGAGCTTTTGCAAATAGGAAGGGTACCAAGAGTTGGAAGGAACAGTAGGGGCTTAAATAAATAAATAAATAAATAAAATGTGGTATGTACATGTAGCAACTCATCACAATGAAAGAAATCATTATGCAGTGTAAACATTTACTAATAAATAATAAAAATTTAAAAATCAATACACAGGGCCAGGGATTTAGCTCAGTGGTGCCATGCCAGCTGTGCAAGCACAAGGTTCTAAGTTCAATCCCTGATACCATTAAAAAAAAAAAAAATCAATACACAAAGAAATCAACTGTATTTCTGTATAGTCACAATGAATAACCTGAAAAATAAAGGAAACAACTCCATTTAACCAACCCCCACGCCGGAATAGGGATCAAACTCAGGATCTTGCACTTGAGAGGCTGGCACGGTGCCACTGAGCTAAATCCCCAGCCCCAACCCCATTTATAATAAATAAAAGATAAAATACTTAGGGATACTTACCAAAATAAGCACAGATCTGTACAACAAAACTACAGTACCAAATTTCATTGAAAGAAATTAAAGAGAACTTTAAAAATAGATAACTCAAAACTGGACAAAGATGTGGTTTTTCTACAAAATGGAATATTACTCAGCCATAAAGAATGAGAAAATAGATTCATTCATAGGAAAATGGATACATATTGAAGATATACTCCTAAGTGAAATAAATAAGGCACACATGTGTAAATACCGAATAGTTTCTCTGGTGTGAATAATCTGCTATAATACAGAAGATCCTAATAAGATTACTGACATTGAGAAATGGGAAGAAAGGAGCTAAAGATGTAGGGAAGGTGGGATGGGTAGGGGAAGGGTAAAAAGGGAAAAGAAAAAAATGTGAGATAATGAAAAGATGGAAATAAAGGTGGTTGTAGATGGGGAGGGGAGGGGAGGGTGAAGGGAGGGCAGGGACAAAGGGAAAAAATGAGAACCAAGACTTGTCATGTAGAGGTACAAGATCCCACCAATGAATGTAACTGTACTGTATCCCTAAAATGTACCAATAAACTCAAAGCTGAAAAAAAAATAGATAACTTATGCTGTGGATTGGAAGGTAATATTATTAAGATGCAATAATCTTCAAAATCAATCCACAGATTCAACATAATTCCTATCAAAATCCCATGGGTCATTTCTGTAAAAACTGACAAGCTGATCCTGAAATTAATATGAAAACTTGCCTGGTATAGTGGCACATAGCTGTAACCCCAGCACTCAGGAGGCCAAAGCAGGAGGATTGCTATAAATTTGAGGCCAGTCTGGGCTGCACAGTGAGTACAAGGCCAGCACAGACTACAGAGCAAGACCCTGTCTCAAAAAAAAAAAATAAAAAA